ATTCTATAACCATTACAGCCGAGTCCACGCGAGCCACGTCTACAGTTACAGCAAACACTAGCATACCAGGTACAAAACAAAAGCTGCTTTCATCCTTGCACCAAAAACGTCAGTATTTACAATTCATTTTTACTTGTGAAATGTAACATTTCTGAACGAAACAGGAAAATCAGTGAAAAATATTCAGTGCAGGTCAAGTTTATCAAGATATAATGCTTTGTTTCAGTCTATATTGTTGTTGCTTATATGTAACTTATGCATTACATTAACTGCCATTAAAGGGATAGTTCAACCAAAAATGAAAATTTGATGTTTATCTGCTTACCCCCAGGGCATCCAAGATGTAGGTGACTTTGTTTCTTCATTCTGGCACAAACCGATCTTTTCGTGTCTTAGGACATCAATGTGTCGTCACGAGCCGTAGGGTTTAATTTGGATTTGTCTGTGCATGTTTTTTTTTACTCTCATAGATTTTGTTACCATTGCCATGCATTATACGACTGATAGACTGCAACGGCTGGAGTTAAAAATCATCATATGTGTTCTACTGAAGAAACAAAGTCACCTACATCTTGGATGCGCTGGGGGTAAGCAGATAAACATCAAATTTTCATTTTTGGGTGAACTATCCCTTTAAATTACTTTTTTAGAAAGGTTGCATTATAGACCTGCCTAATGAAATGCCTATCAGTGTTCATTTTACAAAAACATACATGTTTTTATTTTTAATATTTTTTTTATTTCATCATTTTATTCATTTTTTATTTCATTTTATTATGTTTTAACATGTCTATATTTTATCTCAGTTATTTGAATACGTCAAGTTAAAATTAAACTGAGAAATGTTCATAAACAACACTTGCATTAAAACAGTTGGGTTTATGAGTGCTTTGCATGGTGCTTACTGATTTCCAAAACAATAACACTATTGATTTACGTACTGTCTGCTTGTATAGTGACTTGTACACTGTGTTTCTTGTGCTCTTTTAGTTCCCCCCACCCCAGAAATCAAATATAGTGAGGTAGAGGCTTCATCGCCTATTCTGAAATTACGGAAATCCACCAACACACTTGACTCAATATGGTAAGGACGTTTAACATCTCTTTACATAAACTGTTAATGCCATCTGAGTACATGATTTACAGTGAGACCAGACTGAAAATGCTTCTATTTTTTAAACTATTTTCTATTTGATCCCTGCTGCATATGCAGAATATATCAACTATTTGTAGATAATTCTGTATTCAGTTGCTGTGAATGATTTTTGTGTGTGTCTGCGTGTTCAGTATGTACCAGGTGTTCGTTATACCAGTCGAGGGCGTGATGCTGTTTGACTGCAGCTCGTCTGTAAGTCCGCGGTTCCTCGCGCAGCAGAGATGTGATGGAGGCTACGTTACGGCCCAGATACAACTCGGTGGTCTGGCCGCAGAAATCAACTTCACCATAGGGGATCAGCAGCTGTATGGAGACTTCTTCAACGCACCTCTGGAAAATGGAAAAGACTATTATGTCATCCTCCGCACTGTGTGTCAGTGGAGAAAGGTGGGTAGATGTCTTTAAAAGACCTGTAAAATGAGTGCATTTAATACTTTTTTGATAGGTTCTCTAAGTTCTCTCTCTGTGTTTTCTTTGGTAGTCTAGAACACAGTCCTGTGTGATCTGGGCTAAAGCCAGAGGTAAAGATTATAAATCTATCACTGCGTTATGCCACCTGAAAATTGTAAAAACAACAACAACGTGAAGTGGTTTGATATAAACCATTTCTCTTCTCACTTTAGGAACATCCTACATCATGAAGATGTCTGCTCTTGTAACTGTTGGATCCATAAGTGCTGTTGGCTCAGTCATTGTCATGGGATACTGGTACAGCTGGTGAGACTGCATTGTGTTTTATTTTTTATTAATTGACAGGATGAAAATGTTGTGCTTTATGTCTTGTTAGCACTTTCAAATGATTTTCTTTTTTTCCCCACAGGTACTGTAAAAAGTCAAGTCCAAGATTTTTCTCTGCGCCAATCTTAACATCTTACACTGATTGATTTGTTCTGAAATAAAGCCAATCAGTTTGTAAATCTGAGGAGTCAAGTTGTGTCATTATTCAGAAGCATCCTGCAATAGTATTACTGAATTTAGGACTATATTTTATTATAATGAAAACAACTAAAACACTTGAGGAAAAAAAAAAAAGTAAAGTACAAATAAATCAAGATAATATTTAGAATCTAATTTTTATATTTACTTTTTTGTTAAATTAATTTTGGTTAAAGTTTTTTTTTTGGGGGGTCATTTTTATTAGGTTATTTAATTTATTTATTTATTTGTATGTATACAGGTTTTATTCATTTTTATTTCAGTGGGAAATAAAAATGTAAAATGTTGCTGAAGTAAAATAAGTTTATTTATTTTATTTTTTTTATATATATATTTTATTTCAGTTTACGTTTTTTTTTTTAAGTAACAAATTTGGTTATGGTTTCACTTTTAGTCAACCGCAATAACCCTGGCTAATGGTGGCGGTTTTACATATAGGCTTGGTATTTTGGTGGATACTGGGATGAATTTCATAATGGAAAGTTTTTTCTTAGCAAAATTAAAATAAATAAAATGCACAAATAATAAATAAAAATCAATCAATAAAATAGCAGCTGAAAGGATGAATCAAATGTTAAATTCAATTAATTTTCATTATTTGATGAATCAATGAGGTGGGCGTGGTCGTCGCGTAGCTTCAGCCTGTCAATCACTGAGAGAGCGCGCGTGTGTATTGTCTCCCCTCAGACAGTTTTACTTCAGATTTGTAAGTTATGTCCGGTTTAACTCTGTTGTCTTGTATTAATTAAATGATTTTTATTTACTCTATCGCTCGTCATTTCAACAGAACCGATATTTCACGATATATTCAGCGCGATCGCTTAAGTATCGAATTGACAGGCCACATCAAAACCAGACCATTGTAAAATTTTACACAATTCCGTTTAACTGACGGGGGAAAATGTGTACTTTTTCTTGAAACTGCACTCCAATCGCGTGAAGATTATTCTACAACAAGATGTAGTTGATATCTTGTAAATTCTTTGATGTGATTTCAACATGAATTCCTGTGGTCAAACCCAACAAAGTGCCAGTTTCATGACTGTCGGGTATAAGGGTATTGATTACATCTCTGAGGTGAGTTCCCACCACTCATCTATAATAGAGAACATTATAGATTATATAGATAAGTGGTTCCCACACTGATTTCCATTAATGTATTCTGAACAATATTTTAGGTTTTACAACATTATTGAGATGTTTTTTTAAATATAAAAACGACATTAGCATTATACATGCACTTTCATACAAATGCAAATATTGAACATTATACAATTATGCATGCATACAAAATAAAACAGAAAAAAGGAAAAAAATTGGCAGTGTGTTAGTAGTATAAAAACTAGAATAAGTGTACAATCCGATATAAAAATATCAAATAAATACTTAAAGCTCACAAACTTTTAAATATTGAGATGTCATCTGTTTCAGGCCTCAGTCAGACACAGAATGATGATTGGCTTGTTAGAACTTCCAGTTCCGTTCCAGCTGGTCAGTAACATCTACCCACACAACGGACACCTGCAGGACAACGCTTATAGAGTACCATGGAGTAAGTGTGCCATGTTTGTGTTTAATTGAATATGAAATAAGTTGCTTTCATTGTATTGACGAGCAGCTTTGGTTTTAAAATAAGGTCCTGTAGATATCTGTGTTGCTAACTAAGCCCTGGAGACTTTTTGTGATATTCAAAGATATCATAACAACGTTGACTTGTGTCATTTTTGACAGAGAACAAAACATCAGTTTGTACTCTACAAGTGACTGGGTCTGTAATGGATGATTTGAAGGCCAGCACATGTTTCAGTGACTGTTTGGAGAGGTTTGAACCGTGTCTGTAATGTCCTTTGTTACGATCGATCTCAGTTTATTTTGTATTTGTGTCTGCAGATTAAATCCCTCCTAAAGATAAAATTTCTCTCAGTTGTGTTTAAATGAAAAGTTCTTCCAAAATTGAAAATTTGGTGAAAATGTATCCACCCTCAGGCCATCCAAGATGTAGATGAGTTTGTTTCTTCATCATGAAAAGATTCTGAGAAATTTAGCATTACATCACTTGCTGGATGCTCTGCAGTGAATGGGTGCCGTCAGAATGAGAGTCCAAACAGCTGATAAAAACATCACGATAATTCACATTTATTTATTTATTTGTATGTATACAGGTTTTATTCATTTTTATTTCAGTGGGAAATAAAAATGTAAAATGTTGCTGAAGTAAAATAAGTTTATTTATTTTATTTTTTTTATATATATATTTTATTTCAGTTTACGTTTTTTTTTTTAAGTAACAAATTTGGTTATGGTTTCACTTTTAGTCAACCGCAATAACCCTGGCTAATGGTGGCGGTTTTACATATAGGCTTGGTATTTTGGTGGATACTGGGATGAATTTCATAATGGAAAGTTTTTTCTTAGCAAAATTAAAATAAATAAAATGCACAAATAATAAATAAAAATCAATCAATAAAATAGCAGCTGAAAGGATGAATCAAATGTTAAATTCAATTAATTTTCATTATTTGATGAATCAATGAGGTGGGCGTGGTCGTCGCGTAGCTTCAGCCTGTCAATCACTGAGAGAGCGCGCGTGTGTATTGTCTCCCCTCAGACAGTTTTACTTCAGATTTGTAAGTTATGTCCGGTTTAACTCTGTTGTCTTGTATTAATTAAATGATTTTTATTTACTCTATCGCTCGTCATTTCAACAGAACCGATATTTCACGATATATTCAGCGCGATCGCTTAAGTATCGAATTGACAGGCCACATCAAAACCAGACCATTGTAAAATTTTACACAATTCCGTTTAACTGACGGGGGAAAATGTGTACTTTTTCTTGAAACTGCACTCCAATCGCGTGAAGATTATTCTACAACAAGATGTAGTTGATATCTTGTAAATTCTTTGATGTGATTTCAACATGAATTCCTGTGGTCAAACCCAACAAAGTGCCAGTTTCATGACTGTCGGGTATAAGGGTATTGATTACATCTCTGAGGTGAGTTCCCACCACTCATCTATAATAGAGAACATTATAGATTATATAGATAAGTGGTTCCCACACTGATTTCCATTAATGTATTCTGAACAATATTTTAGGTTTTACAACATTATTGAGATGTTTTTTTAAATATAAAAACGACATTAGCATTATACATGCACTTTCATACAAATGCAAATATTGAACATTATACAATTATGCATGCATACAAAATAAAACAGAAAAAAGGAAAAAAATTGGCAGTGTGTTAGTAGTATAAAAACTAGAATAAGTGTACAATCCGATATAAAAATATCAAATAAATACTTAAAGCTCACAAACTTTTAAATATTGAGATGTCATCTGTTTCAGGCCTCAGTCAGACACAGAATGATGATTGGCTTGTTAGAACTTCCAGTTCCGTTCCAGCTGGTCAGTAACATCTACCCACACAACGGACACCTGCAGGACAACGCTTATAGAGTACCATGGAGTAAGTGTGCCATGTTTGTGTTTAATTGAATATGAAATAAGTTGCTTTCATTGTATTGACGAGCAGCTTTGGTTTTAAAATAAGGTCCTGTAGATATCTGTGTTGCTAACTAAGCCCTGGAGACTTTTTGTGATATTCAAAGATATCATAACAACGTTGACTTGTGTCATTTTTGACAGAGAACAAAACATCAGTTTGTACTCTACAAGTGACTGGGTCTGTAATGGATGATTTGAAGGCCAGCACATGTTTCAGTGACTGTTTGGAGAGGTTTGAACCGTGTCTGTAATGTCCTTTGTTACGATCGATCTCAGTTTATTTTGTATTTGTGTCTGCAGATTAAATCCCTCCTAAAGATAAAATTTCTCTCAGTTGTGTTTAAATGAAAAGTTCTTCCAAAATTGAAAATTTGGTGAAAATGTATCCACCCTCAGGCCATCCAAGATGTAGATGAGTTTGTTTCTTCATCATGAAAAGATTCTGAGAAATTTAGCATTACATCACTTGCTGGATGCTCTGCAGTGAATGGGTGCCGTCAGAATGAGAGTCCAAACAGCTGATAAAAACATCACGATAATTCACAAGTAATCCACACCACTCCAGTCCATCATAATCCAGAAAAACGCTTCCTTTAGTGAAAAAGTCCATACAATGTTGTGGTCTCCCATCAAAATCCACCAACATTTCTGTTTAGAACTCTTTTCGCTTGTAAACAGTTCTTGATCTGTGCCTATTCCTCTCCTGATTCCGATGAGATGAATTTTTCACTGGAGAAAGTTTTGTTATGGATAGAGGACTCGTATTTTAACTCGGAAGCAATGGGTTGAAGTTTTTATGAGCTGTTTGGACCCTCACCCATTCACTGCCATTGGTGAGTAAGTGATTTACTGCTAAATTTCTCCAAATCTGTTCTGATGGAGAAACAAACTCATCTATATCTTGGATTTCTTGGGGGTAAGTACATTTTCAGCAAATCTTAATTTTTTTGTGAACTGTTCCTTTAAATGTAGGTTCTTCATATTGGACTGTGTTGTGTTTAGGTTTAATGTGTTGCAGACAGGAAGAGGTCAAGAGGAAGTGGTTCCCAGCTCTAACCCTGCCTCTCAGTGCAGTATTTCTACCACAGAAGCCCTCTGGCTCCTAGATGGAGTTGAGAGCAGTACCACCAGATCACCTTGGGAAGAGAGTTTTAGTACATGTACACCAGATACATGCTGTGATGGTGAGAACTGGCGTATTCAGTATTATTTTGTTTATATTTTTTGTGTAATTTCTGTATTTATTACATGTGTATCACTAGATTTCTGGCTGTGATATTGTACTAAAAAGGGGTAGATGTGTGCTAAAAATGCCTAAAATCATACAGCTTGCTTTCAAAGGGATTTCAAAGAGTTCTTTATATGTTCTTGGACCACAGAAGTATGAATTTTACCTTATGATGCGCTCATAATGGAAAATCTAGATGTTAATCCGTCCTTTCCTTGTCTCCTAAATCTTAGATCTTTCTCTGCCAGAGGAGGTGATATTCAGTGACCATCTGCAGCAGTTCAAAAGCCACCTACCTCCTTTTCAAAGGATGCTTCAGAGGCTGAACATCATGATTGTCTCGGATCCAGTTCTCAATTCATCAGTAAATCTCTTAGAAGAGGTTATTTTTAGGTACAACATAGAGCATAACATTAGGGATTAGGCATAAAAAAATCTTCAGAATCATTCACTCATGTGAAAGTTGACTGAGAATTGAACAAATAGATGTAACCTGGCTCAGAGGAAGATAGAAACCATGCCTGTCAGATTGTCCTGTGTACTGTCTGTCATCTGATGCACTGAAATTATATTTTCAACTCACCCGTATTTCCTCCTTCTAGACACTGTGCTTCATATGATGCAGTTTTAGACAAGGTAACAGGTGCCACGTTTACTTTAAATGCTACAGAAGAGTTCAAAAAAGAAGCAGTGCTGAATGAAGAGGTAATCTTCAAAACTAAATCATGTTAAAGTAAATGTCTCTCTTGGTTGTGCTATTTGCAGCTAATGAAAAAGTTTTGTATATTTTAAATACCAGCTATGATTTCTTAACAGTCTCTGATGTTGCCTGTTGAAGTTCATATGAACTGCTTTCCAAGACAAGAGCCCAATTATTCCTTTGCACAAATGCAAGATTTTCTAAATGTCACCCGTGAACCAATAGAAGAATGTTTCCCTTTAAAAGATCTTCTCAAAGAAGGTAAAACTTGACATATATACGTAGCAAAAAATATGCAATGCCCCCAAAGAGTATTTGGAAACTTAAAAATGTCTGAATGTTATTTACATTAGATGAAAAAATATCAAAGCAAAGGTGTTTATTTTAAAGAAGAAAGAACAAGTATAAGCTAACCATTTGAATGAAAAAATGAATACATTTGTTAGGTTTTAAATAATAAAGCAATTGATGCACAAACACCAATAAATAGCTCAAAAGTGCAAATGCCATTTGCTTTTATATTTTGTTATCTAATGCAGTTACAATCAGACAGTGTGACTTTTTGGTGCCATTATAGTTTGTATAAAAGTCAATAATAATTATATTTCAATTATAATAGTCACCACTGGTGATAAACACACGGCTGAGTTGGAGGTCCTGGAAATGCCTGAAAGCTGCTTTGCTAACATCACCTTCAAGGAGCCACAATCTCCGGGTATAGGAAATTGTTTTTCATATTTAATCACAATCAAATAGTGGTTCCTGCTGTAGATTACTTTTCTAATCTCCATTGACTTCAAAACCTTTCATTCCAGTTGCTTCGAGGTCTTATGCTGAGATGGAATTAGACCTGCTTCTTTCACCATCTAGTCATACGCTGTGTCTACCAGACCTGTGTATGTCCAGCAGACTGTCAGCTGAGATTCTGTCACCAGTTTATAAGCAGTGAGTTTGTTATTTTTGTTATAACAGGGAGAGAAGGCTGTAAATATTTGGTGCATTCAAAATGGTGGAATGGGTGGTTGATTGCGATTTCACTTTTTTAACGTTAGTTAGTGTGTAATGTTGCTGTTTGAGCATAAACAATATCTGCAAAGTTACAACGCTGAAAAGTCCATGCAAACAGATATCTCTTTTAATGTCTTTTATAATTATGGCAGTTTAATGCCTACAAAAACGGTTCGTAGGGACTACAACGAGTTAATTCTGGGGTTTGTGACGTCACAACCCCAGATAAACCCCGCCCTCGGGAAAAGGCAGCAAAGGGGACGAGGCCATGTTGTGCTGCTTTAGAGAAGAGGAAGAGAAAACTAGGGGTACATGTAAAAATCTATTCATATATGAATCGCAATTCTGTCTTCTAACGATTCTAATGGATTCACAAGTTTCAAAATCAATGTTCTAAAGCAGCGGTTCTCAATCCTGTTCCTCGCGTCGCCCTGTTCTGCCTCTCTCTCTCTCTCTCTCATTCAGATCATCAGCTCAGCTCCAACAATGAACTGTTCCATTTATAAACTTCTTTTCAGATAGCTATGAGAAGCGTTATACATGGATAAACAAAAACATACCATTAAGAGTCGTGCTTGCACAGGTTCTGCGCGATCCTCTTCAATAATATCCTCTGCTTCTCAATCGGGCTCAAACTGATAAGCGATATTAACAACGCCTTTGTTTACAATACAACCAGAGCACATGCCGCTGAGGAGAGGGGCGGGACGATAAGAAGCGCACTAGAGACGGTTTAGCCAATCACAACACACTGACCCCCAAAAAGTGAACCGTACCGTGCCGTACCATGCAGTGGAAAAGCGCCATAATATTCTCTGCTTCTCAATCGGGCTCCAATTGATAAGCAATATAGACGACGCCATTGTTTACAATGCCACTGAGGTGAGGGGCGGGACATTTAGACGACAATCAAGCCTAGAGAAAAACCAGTCAACCACCCCTTTAAGACATCTAGTACAGGCTTGTTGTCACTTGTACATTTGTTTTCATTCTTTGAGTCAACATGAAATGGCATTTACAACCAATTTTCTTCCTTGATATAGATACAACGTGTGCTATTGTAAAAACTGTAAATCTATTCCTCACAACCTCGTTTTCGTCCATGTTAAATTCAATATGGTGTCTAACCTGATTAAGGTCTATAAAGTAAATAGGCTCAATTTTATTTTCATGTTGACTTAAGGATCAATGAAAACGCCGCTCATAATAATAAAATATATGATAAAGTAAATAATATGTAATGTACTTTTCCTAGGCATTTCATGTCAGACAGTGATTGTGAAAATATGGAAAAAGCTGTTTGGATGGCAGAGAAACATCCCCATTGTGTGGCTCGATTTTTACTTGCTGGTAATGTGTAGAAAATAATTTGAGAAACTTAGTGTGCATCCATAGAAGTGTTTATTTACTAAAAACATTCACACAAATATTCCTATCTTGGCCATTTTGTTCTTTAGTCAAATATTAATGGCTAGACAAAAGTTTTTTTTTTTTTAGAGCCCTTAAACTCCATTGTGTTTTTGTACAGAACCACAGGTAGCTAAGCCATTGGTCCACATTCAGTCACTCCCAGAGCTTCTCACACTCCTGAAGGTGGAGATGGAACAGGATGCAGAACCCAAAGACAATATGGGCCAGTTTCACCTCACTGGCAGTACAGTGATGCTTCCTGAAAACGTCTTCAGAAATCTCTCCATCTATACTGAGAAAATGTCCACAGAAGACTGTAAGAGAGCTGTGAGAAAGCCACACGTGGATGAAACATTCTCACCACTGTCTATTGTGAAAATAGATGGTAAGACAGAATGCAATAAATACTCTTTTTTTTTAAATATTTTATTTATGGTTTTAAGATTTTGTTAGAATGAAATACTACTCTAAAGTTCTGTATGCTAATGTTGTGTTTTTACAGAGTTGCTGAGTAAGTGTGCTTCAAATGCAGGTGAGCTTTTTAAGTTTCTCTCATCATTTCATTCAGATACAACCTAAATATATATTTTCTAGTCATGATTGTTTGCTAAATAAGGCAGACACTGTTATTGCTCATACTTGAAGTTTGAACAAACAAAATTGGAAAATGGAAAATCTAGAAATGCTGTTGTGTTAACTGTTAACCATAGAGGAATATCATTTAAGTAAGGTTACTTCTCTGATGGCAAAACTAAATTTTGATGAGCATAAGAGACTTCTATCAAAAACATAAAAAAAAAATCCAAACAAACAAAAGCATTGTTCCAAAAGCTTTGTTGTGTTAACTAGAGCCCGACCGATATATCGTTTTGCTGATATTATCGGCCGATATGTGCCTGTTGCCGATATATCGGTATCGGCGAATATGCCGCCGATATGAAATTTTTTTTACAGAACATACAACGCAGATAAAATGCTTGAAATGGTGTAATTACTTAGTTTGTCCAGCAGAG